TCTAGAACCAAATTCAGGTTCAAGTGAATCCAAATTGGTTCAAAAGTAAAAACTTTCGTCTGAGATTAAATAATGGAAAATTATAATGAAGTTTAAATAATATGACTTTTATTACATAATACACTTGTTATAAGAAGATAAATTAGCTCATAATTTTTGCATATACGTTTTTCTTTTTTCTGTTTCAAAAAAATTATTTTCTATAGTATAAAATAAGCTTTGAACGATTATCTGAAAATATTAACCTTGATGTTGAAATGATTAACCTTAATGTTGAAACAATTTACCTTGATGCTGAAACAAGTTTTAACATTGATATTGATAAAAGCCAAGTTAATAATTCTTTTGATCTTTTAAATGAAATAAATAATAGTTACATAACTTTACATAAAGAACCAATAGTTTCTATTAGTGATAATCAAGTCATGATACTAGTTGGGCAAACTTTTGCAGATTGGAATAATGTTCAACAATATATTAACTATTATGCAATAAATTAAGGCTTTGCCACAAGACTTCGTCATACAGACAGAAATCTGGGTTTAATTACAAGAGCAGAAATTGTATGTCGGCATGCTAGTACACCAAGTAATACAAGTATTAGATTATGAAAGACAAAAAGTATTGCTATTGATTGCCCATTCAAGATAGTAATTTGTTGGACAAAAGATAAATATTGTATAAGACATACTCACTTAGAACACAACTATCCTATGGACACTGCAATAGTTGTGTTTGATTCTAGTTATTGGAAACTAAGTCATAATAAAAATGCTCATATTCAAATGCTTTATGATAGTGGCATCCCAGTTCCTACAATTGTAAATATGTTAACTGAATAATATAGCAGATACATTTATAATAAAGATGTATACAATGCTTTAAATCATCAATCTCATAATTATGTAAAAGATTTATCTTAGACTGCAGAGCTATTAAACAATCTAAATACTAATAATGAATATCGAGTTACTTATTTGGTTAATAATAAGAAACTTCATTGCTTGTTTTTTACAATCCGTATAGCACTTTCAACATTTAATTATTATCCTGAAATTTTATTATTAGATTCTACCTATAAAACAAATAAGTTTGGAATACTATTTTTACTTATCATTGGAATTGATACGATGGGTATTACATTCCTTATTGCAAGTTGTCTTCTTACAAATGAAATAGCAGTGAATTTTGTTGGGCATTCCATCAATTAAAGGAAATAATTGAAGATAAAATGTTTTATAACATACGAACAATAGTAATTGATAGTGATTCTGCACTTATATCTGCAGTACGAACTGAGATGTCACATGCCAAACATCAATTATGTGTATGACATGTTGAACAAAACATAGTTAAGAATTTAAATAACAAACTTAAAGACAAGTTTATTATATTTAGTAAAGATTTCAAGAATATGATGTTTGAAACTAAAGAAGAGAAATTTAATATTCAATAGGATTGTTTATTAGATAAATATCCTGAGGCATATAGTTATATGGTAGAGCAATGGAAACCATATAGTAATATGTAAACATATTGTTATACTAATAAGAATGTTAATTATGAAATAAGAACATCTCAATGATCAGAAGCTACTAATGTGCATTTAAAACGTTTACTTGGTCATATGACACCTCTACCTGAGTTAATTAATGCTCTAGAAAAATTAACTCAATATCAATTACAACATTTTCAATATTAACAATATCATTTACAGATTAGTATTCATCAACAGTGTCCTGAATTTCTAAAAGAAGTTTCAATAATTATTTCAGATTTTGTATATGCTTTATTATTAGAGCAATATACTATGATTAATAATTATGATATTAAAAAGCAAGAAGCTGGTTTGCTCCATGTTTATTACAATGAACATCATGAACATACAATTTATCAAGTTAATAATTCATATATATGTTTCTGTGATTATAATACACAATTTGCTTTACCATGTCGACATGTTCTTGCTGTTCATGTTATTAATAAAAAAAGTTTAAATGTTGATTATATTGGTCTTTGTTGGATAATTACATCAGTAAGATTTACTGTATCTGAAAAACAAAGTAACAATTTTATTAATAACAATGAATTTACTACCATGTCCAATCATATAATTCATGATATATCCTCTGACAAACAAAAGTCTACTAAAAACACTATAGATTTAATTAAAGATATTGAATCTATCTCTAATCGAGTTGGTCATATTGAAATCAATAATACAGTTGCTCTTTTTGTAGAACAATTAAAAAACAAATATCCATTATCACAAGATGATATTAGAGATCCTATTATTGCAAAGACAAAAGGAAGGCCAAGTAATACTAAACGCAAAAAGATAGGTGCTGAGCATGCTACTAAAAAACTTTATGTGTGTAGTATTTGTAGCAACAATGGACACAACTCCAGAAGTTGCCCAAGCAAGAGCAAGGTAAATATTAATATTTTACTTTATTGTATTAACACTATTTCTATACTAATGTTCAATCTTTTCACGTTTAGTCACTTTAGAATAATAAACATATGATTATTAATTTTTAACTTTGAACTCTTATTCTATTCCTATTTGTATTTAATAAACCTTAATTGTATTTGTTTATATGATTAATTGTTATTTAAATTTAATAAATGTCTGTTTTAATAATAAATAGCTATTTCAATTAAATATCGCTCATATTACTAATAATACTTTTTTATTGGACCTTTGATTTATGTGCTTCTGGTTCTAGTTGAACCAATTCGAGTTTACTTAATCCTAAATTTGGTTCTAGTTAAACCAATTCAGGTTTACTTGAACCTGAATTTGGTTCTAGTTGAACCAATTCGGGTTTACTTGAACCTAATTTGGTTCTAGT